AAAGGGGCTGACTAGGGGATATGACACATCAGGACAGTCAATTTTGGTCGTGGGCTAATCCTATGCCCCCATCATCTTAGCTAGTGACAACGTGAATGCTACACATCATGGAAGAGGGATCTATCGCACAAGAAAGAAACGAGCAGGCTCAAATCTCACATGGCTACCTATATGCTCTATCTCACATTCTGATACCCTGAACTAGATGCATAAAAGACTGTCAAGAACAAGTAATCGATCCAAGTCACAGTTGGCAAGCAAACAGTTGAAAAACTGAACCCCTACATTGTTCTACTGCACATCTCAGTCCTCATCATAGGTTGTCCTAGTCGCAAACAAGTTGTCATGCATTAATCCGAAAACCAATCAATTCATCCATCAAAACACAGTGCCAATATGATCAAACAGCAGTACTTGGAGCCCTCAAATCGTAAGATTCGGACAGCGGACTAGGCTCCAAGCACCCAAATATATATTCCACCCGATACAAAGCACCCCCCCCCACACTTAAGCACGACATTGCCCTCAATGGAGTAGAGGGAAAGATCAGGGGAACGATGTTACTGGATTGAAACACTGCTGGGGGACTGGAAGTGGACCAGTCAGCGAGACACAAACGGGAGAATGGACAATGCTGCACAAATCGAACACCAGAAACACACTAGCACACTGTGCGTTAGGGATAAGTGTTAGCCCAGACGGCTAGGGGTGTTCAAACGGTTTGGTTACCATGGTAACCGTTTTAACCAGTACTATTTGGATAATTTGGTTTGGTTAATTTGGATAATTGGTTTGGTTTGGTTAAAGTTTTTAGCTTGTTTGGTTTAGGTGGTTTGGTTTGGTTTCAGACACTCCTAACCAGTCAAACCAAATTAACCAGTTAAGTAATTAGTCATATATCTAACATATATTATATACACATACTTAATACTTTGCATAACCATTCAAGAGTTAACTTTCATCCCTTTTAAACTCATAAAATATAAAGCTCAATATTGCTCATATAGTGTATATTTGTATATGTAAAATGTAGACTACAACATATGGACGCCTAATTTAGATAAATTTCATATATATGATGGATGAAAACTTGAAAGGAAGGTCATTTCCAACCTATGATAATTGCTAAGTGACTAAGTCAATTTACACAAACACAACAATTCATTAACCCATACCATTGTCATAAATTTTTGTTAGGTGAATACTTCTATACTAATCGTAAGATAATTGTCTAAGTTGCATGTATTTTTGTTAAGGGTCAACTATAACTACGTGTTGATTGTTATGTTTTATTCATTATATAAATTGCGTATTGTTGCATTAACCGGAAAATTTTCATCGTCAATGATAATGTGATTTTATATTGGTTAATCTGGTTAACCAATTAACCAAACCGATTAAACTTTAGTTTGGTTAATTTGGTTGTTGTATTAGTTTGGACGGTTTGGTTATGATATTGTATTCCATGGTTAATGAAATTTAGCCTTATTTGGTTTGGTTACAACCATGGTAACCATTTGAACACCCCTACAGACGGCTACATCAGAAACAAACCACAAAGGAAAACCAAACACAAAAACAAACGACACTGAGTTCAAACTCCGCACACATGGAGCAAACACACAAAAGTCTAAAACGAAAAAGAAAACACACTGAGACGGGCAACGAGTACAGCCTACTCGTTGCCAAGATCGGCGAGGTCGATGTCGTTCATGAACGCGTCATCATCAGCAGCGCCAGCAGCACCATCATCACCGTCAGCTGGGGCATGTGGAAGTGGGGAGTCATCCCAGGGAGTCCTCCAGACAGGCTGCTCGCCCGGGAGCAGCTGGAGCAGGTGCTGCTGAACCTCCTGCATGCGCCGTGAACGGCGCTTCTCCCGCTCGATGTGGGCGAGAGTCACTCCCTGCTGTGTCTGAAGCATGTCCAGACGCTCATCATAAGCATCCATCCTGCGCTGGTACGTGGCCTGGTGCTCCGCGTACTGCTGATGGAACTGCAGCTGCTGGTCGAGGATCTGCTGATTTTGGATCCGCTGGTTTTGGATTCGCAGCTGCTCGAACTGGGAGGAAAAGTAATCCTGGCCCGGGAAAGCGGAGCTGCTACCCCCGTAATGGAAGTCAGTCTGTGGTGGATCATCAGCAACAGCATCCACATCCTCTGGGTGAATATCCTCACCTGCCTCCTCCTTCTGGCCCTCTGGCTAGTCCTCTGGCTCGGGCTCCACGGGGATCGGAGGTTCCAGAAACCCATCGACCCATAGAACACCGTTCCTCTCGTGCAGCAGCTGCATCTTACCGATCGTCTTCCTGCCAAAAATGAGGGTGTCCCACTCCTGGTTGCACCCCTGCAGTGAGAGCCCAAAGTAGGTGGCCAGGCGGGTGATGAGGGGGGCGCAGTGGAGGCTCTTCAGTTCCGTGGCAGTCTTCTCAAAGGTCCTAGCCACCACCGATCCCAAGTGGAGAGGATGGTCGTACTGGCGCATCGAAAGGATGAGGTACATGGCCCGCTTGGTGATGGCGCTGGCACTATCAGCCGCTGGGGTGTAGGACTTCGCCAGCAGGTGGTGGAGAAGGCGGTTCTCGACTAGCAGGGTAGTGGCCTTCGTCCTCCTGGCCCGGAAGGGTTTCCTCTGGCCTGGCTTGGCCAGGCGGGTGTACAGCCTCGCGAAGTCCACCTCCGACGGATCGTTGACCTCTGTGATGTAGTTCGCACCGTCATCCAGGTCGAGGTCGAGAGCCTCGGCCAGCTCATGGTAGCTCATCGACCGGGGGGCACCGCCGAGCCGGAATCTAACGGCGTTACCGTCTTTCCAATCGGTCATATGTGTGTGCCTGAAGGTCGTGTAGAACTCCAGGACGGGCTCGTAATAGACCTTCTCGCAGATGGTAAGCAGACGGCGCCATGTGCGATTAGCGAGGGCGGCAGAAAGTTGCTCGTAGCAGTTCAATGTCCTGAACTCCCGCTTGGACCAGCAATGGTGTTGCCCAAACGGGGTGGCCAGGACCTCCTTGAAGCGAGCCTCGTGGCGGCCCCTCCATAGATCCCGGATGAACGGGTGCTTGAGATCAGGCTTTGACATTGTCCTGCAAAAGAACAACCCAAAGTGGAACCAAAAGAGCCAAAGAAAAGGTCAATCACACCCCCACACTTATGAACAGAAAAACAGCCGAACCATAGTTTCATCCATAGTTCGGGGGTCAAAAACTCGATAAATCAAGCATAATCTGAGTGGGGGTGCACATTCACGAGAAAATAGGCATCTTAAGATTTACATCCATAGCAAATACAACCACAAACTACATCATTAAGGGCCCCAACCGGTGGCCACAACATGGCATGGAAAACAGGCATTTCATCGAACACCTTGTGTGCACTATTAAGTTAAGCATGAAATTGGCACAATTCTTGCACACAAGGGCTCAAACAAGCAAGGGGAACTTTGCCCAACACAATTCAAACACATTCCTCGGCAGAAATCACACGGTCAGGGTGCTCAATGGCACGGCCGTGTGAAGGTTGTTTGTGCCCGTGTTTGCTCTCGCACAATCCCACACGGCCTGGCTTGGCCTTTGCACGGCCGTGTGATGCCACGGTCTGCCCGTGCAGCTTCCTTGACACCTCGCCACGCGTCCGATCTTCGTCCAATCGACCCCAGACTCGCTCCCAAGCCTCCATTCACGTAATAGGACCTGAAATATCACAAACAAGCACAACCTAGCGTGAAATCGGCCTAAAACACGAGAATCAACACCTCAAACGGTGTAAGAACGAGGGTAAAAACATGTGTAAATAACAGTCTATCACACGTAAAATTAATATGCAAGCCTAAATGAATATATTTGTTGGCCTTTTCTGTTACGTTAAATTTTATGCTAAAGAAAATAACTTCAAAGCGACAAAGCCTCTCCTACAATGACGCATACAGTTGTCTGAAAATTACCCCATTTAACTTCTGTGAAATAGATTCATGTTAAGGGTTTGGCATTAATAGCAGTAAGTGATTTCTTATTTACCAATGAGAATCCACAATGAGTGTCATTTCTTTATTTCATTGTGACATGGCAAATTCCAGTTCCTATTTCATTTTTGTTGCTCCTATTCCATTCGTGAAATACTTCATTAAGTTACGTAAAATTAATTATATTAGTCATAACGCCTTCACTGACTTTAATGAGGCATTGGCCTTACAAAATAATCGAAATTCATCACTAATTAATACGTTTACAACAACGAAAGCTAATCCACGTATATTAAGTTTCCAACACTAGCTGAAATGATCCAGAATCGTTTTAATAACAAATATTACTTACACCTATTGCTTGGCCCATTAAGCCATAAAAGAATCACAAATTGGATCGCAAATTATTGCATTACACTAAGCCCAATCGTTTGGTTGATTCACAAATACGATTTATGATGACTATCCACGGTTCGAATGAAACTTTGTCTTCGTCATCTTCTTCCTTCGACAGAAACAAGCCCTAAATATCACTGATCATCAAGCCATAGATTGACCTTCAACTAGAAGCTTCATGTGAATACTAAATAAATTAAAGGACAAGACAACAGACTATCCACCCACAATTCCATTGAAATTCCCTCTTCTTCATCTTCTTCATTTCCTCTACTTCATCTTCTTCCTCCGGTCGAAACGATCCCAGAATGGAATACACATACCTGTGCAACAAGAACGAAAAACTAAATAGATGAAGGGGCAATACAATAGACTTGTGGCTAGCTTTTATGAACATGTGGTTTTCTCTATGTTACTTGTGCCATACAATAATAAACTTGTGTTTTACGTTGTTGGTCATGTGGTGTGCTTAATAGCACTAGCAGCAGGCACAGCAGTACTTTGGGTAGTGTTCCTTTCCTACTTGCACTGCTTCTGCAGCAGAGTCATTATTTACGGTGGTACTAAGAATGGCGAGATACCCCGTCGCCGTCGATACGCTCCCAAGCCATCGAGTGCATTGCCGATCATAGGCCACCTCCATATGTTGACCATGGGCAGCAAACCGGCTGTTGCCCCTGTGTTGGCGGCCATGGAAGAAAAATACGGGCATGTCTTGACGGTATGGCTGGGGATGCAGCGGGTACTTGTGGTGAGCGATCCAAAGGTGGTGAAGGAATGCTTCACCACCCATGATAGGGCTCTCTCGTCTCGACCAAGAACAAGCCCTGCCAAGTTCCTCCTCTTCGACTACGTCGGGTTCGGGGTTTCACCATATGGCGCCTATTGGCGAAGCATTCAAAATCTCGCAGTGACTCATCTCGTCTCCTCTAACGACATCTGAGCCACAGTGTAACGATCAGGATGTAGTTGTAATAGGGTATAATGTGAGGATCATTTTGTAATTAGGATTTCATATAAATAGGATTGGTTGTACTGAACAAAGGCTATCGAATACAATCTACAGAATTGCTTCCTGCTTCCCTATCTCTTCTCTTCTTCCTTCCTCTGCTCTGTCTCTGTTCTTCCCCTTCTTCTAATCTTCTTCCCCAATTCTCATTTCTCTTCTCAAACCCCTCTACTCATCTCTTCAATTTCCAATTGTTGATACTCAATCGCCAAGAATTGATCCAGCATCACTCCGGGACGCTACAAATTGGTATCAGAGCCCTTCTTGGCACAATGACAACCACAAGCATTGACGAACAGTTGCATCTCGTCTCCAATCGGGCCATCGATCCGGCAACCGTGGTCCTGCCGTCACGCACGACGAAAGAGGCGCTAGCAATCCTTGCTAATCCGGAGACCGATCCGAAGCTTCACACTTGGCTAGCTGATTCGCAGGTGTGGCATTTGCGCAGCATGAAAAGGCTCAGCATCATCAGGGGTGAACACCCCAAATCACTGGTTTCCCGTACTTATGACAACCTCATACGCCGCTGCCAGGCGTATCTCGAGAATTCCGATCCAACTTCCGCCGGAGACGGTGGTCTCGTAGGCAACCTCGTGCCTTCCCAGTCGGCGACGATAGCCGGTGGTCGGAGTGCTCTACTGCCGATTTGTGACGCTCTGCCGCCATCTGTTCGACAAAATGCCGAGATGGGAATTGACTCAGGTATTTTCTCTTCTCCGGTGATAATTCACGGGAATGGGTTAGCCGATGCGAGGACTTTTTCAATGAGTATAGAATTCCGGATGAACATAAGGTTACAATAGCTGCGGATTCTTTTGAGCGTCGTCCATATATTTGGTTTGACGGATGGAAATATGGTCATACAGAACTAGTGTGGAGTGAGTTTGTAGATGCACTATGTAGCCGTTTTGGTGACAGATCATACAGTGGAACACTGGGTGAATTCAACAAGTTGAGCAAAGTGGTTCATTGTTGGAATACCAGGAAAAGTTTGAAGAACTAAGATCTTAGCTGGTTAGATATACTTGTATTCTAGTTGAAGCGTATTTCATTTCGAGGTTTATTAACGGGCTGGAAGTGGAACTGAGGCAGACTGTTATAGAGTTGCAGCCCCAAACATTAGCTGAAGCTTATCAGCAAGCTCGGTTGGAGGAAGTTGCCATCAAGGCGTGCAAAAGAAAGACGCAATTGCATCTTGGTGACTGTTTTAGTTCGGAGGGTGAGCCAATGACAGTGACTTTGGAACGAGCTCTTGCGAAGACCATCTGTGATGGTGGGGTGAAGCAAATTAAAGCCAACTTAATGGCTACGACAGCCAATGGTAACGACCTTGACGAGAATGGTAGCAAGCATGATGGCCTGTTGGATCTCAATGAAGAAGGTATATGTCTCGCTGAAAGCTTAAGAAATGAAGCAGATGCTGATGAGGATGAGTATAGACAGAGAATACAATCTGAATCTGATAAAGAAGCCAAATCATTTTCTTTTCCAAGTGTGATGGGTGTAGAGGGACATTTATTGATTCACCCTGTTTCAGCCTTAGGGGGGAATACTGCGAATGGTGAATCAGCTGTTGATACTAGGAGTATTACGACCAGCAGCGATGGTGAGTGGAATACAGCTACGAAAAGGGATATCCATAACCCAACAAGTACCAATCAGGAAGAGGAAGCTGTTCTATCTGCAAAAGCTTTGGGAATGAGTCGTTCATTGTCTTCAGTATTCAAGTTGCTGAGGCCTTATGAGAATTTAACTTCTGCTGTAAGCACTTTATTGCAAGTCAAAGCAGGGTTAGGAGGGTCTTCTTATATTCAATCACATGTTTCCCTTCCTACTGCTAGTCAAGTCGAGCACCCCTACGGTCTTGGGAATGGTTTGGGACTGGACACCAGGAAAGGCACAATAATAACTGAGTTTGCTATATCATTTTCTTCTCTAGTCTTGGTCATTCCAAATAGCAATACTTGGATTCCTCAATCTCAGGCTGTTGTTGTGATGGAGAAACTTGCTCTACTTGAAGCTGATCCTTTTGATGTTGAGTCTCAAGAGACAATTAAAGTTAGCATTCACCAGAAAGATATTAATAAAGTTTGGTCAGCATCGTTGGAGTACAATAGTGAAGCTTTTGTCTGTTGGGAAAGGTGGGTTGATTCAGAGTTTTATGTTGCCGGGACTGACATGTTAAGCAGGGCTGGATATTTGTATGAAGATGGCAGCAGAGCTGCAGAACTTTTTGCTTGGCAGCTTCAATGGACTTGGGGGGTGAATCGCAGTTGGGATTCTGAATATCAGGTCTTCCCTACCTACTATGGTGTTTGTGTAGTATCTCGTGGCAGAGGGCGTTGTCCTTGCTTTAAGGAACCGTACAAGGATCCTTTTCTAGAGGGCAACAAGAATTATGAACGGTTTGATCAATTGATTTTTGTGCTTGTTTTTCCTTACGGCAGAGGAGCCTGCCCTGATTTTAAAGAACCATGCAAACCAGTTTTAACCATGGAGTGGAGTGGTTTGATTGGGATGCAGACTTGTGGGCTGTTCAAATGGGTTCTGTTGTTCTTTCTCGTGGAAGAGAGTTGGTGGAGCATCCAATTTTCAAAGTTTACTGCAACCAGTCTTTGCTGATGTTCTTGCCACGGATTGTTATGGGAACAAGTACGAATCCCATCATGTATGGATTGCAGGAAGGCACTACATAGTAGCAGTTGTTACTGGTCTACATGTGCAGAAAGGGACCCCATGGTGGCAGTAGTACAGTGCTCGGAATGTTGGTGTTGATTATTGCTGCAAAAGTTCCTTGTCTACCGACTTCATTCCTTGTTGTTATACCATTTTTGTTTCACTAGGCTTGAGGACAAGCCTGTTTTCAAGAGGTGGGGATTTGTAACGATCAGGATGTAGTTGTAATAGAGTATAATGTGAGGATCATTTTGTAATTAGGATTTCATATAAATAGGATTGGTTGTACTGAACAAAGGCTATCGAATACAATCTACAGAATTGCTTCCTGCTTCCCTATCTCTTCTCTTCTTCCTTCCTCTGCTCTGTCTCTGTTCTTCCCCTTATTCTAATCTTCTTCCCCAATTCTCATCAGCGTCCCGGAGTGATGCTGGATCAATTCTTGGCGATTGAGTATCAACAATTGGAAATTGAAAAGATGAGTAAAGGGGTTTGAGAAGAGAAATGAGAATTGGGAAGAAGATTAGAAGAAGGGGAAGAACAGAGACAGAGCAGAGGAAGGAAGAAGAGAAGAGATAGGGAAGCAGGAAGCAATTCTGTAGATTGTATTCGATAGCCTTTGTTCAGTACAACCAATCCTATTTATATGAAATCCTAATTACAAAATGATCCTCACATTATACCCTATTACAACTACATCCTGATCGTTACAAACAGAGCATGCCCGGCAGTCAGAGGTTGATTCCTTAGTGAGCCACCTCTAATCGCTCATTCATAAAAGCAACAACGACGACCAAGCCACGGTTGTGGCCATGAATGTCGTATTTGAAAGTCTGACGCTGAACATAACAACGAGAATAGTGTTAGGCAAGAAATCCCATGTGTTCCACGACAACAGTATCAATGAGGAGGAGGTGGAGGAGACGAAACGGATCGGACGGCTGATCAAAGAGTTCATGAAGTTGGCCGGCTTTTTTGTAATCTCGGACGTCATCCCACATAGGGTGAAAATCGGTACGGTATCGGTATCCCAATACCAAATACTGAAATCCCAAATACCGAATTACACCCTAAAATCAATCTCAATCCCTAAATAATTTCGGTATCCCAATCTCAATCCCAAAATAATTTCGTTATCTCAGCGGTACCTCGGTATCCCAATCGGTATTATCGAATACATAATTAATTACTTTTGCAATTAATAATCAAAAATATAAATTAGATTTTATTGTTTAATTTAGAGCAAAGAGACTAAGCAAATAGTCTTGAGTTGCCTAGAGCTAACATCTCAAATTCTTGTAATTGGTAATCTTTAATTTGACAAATTTGAGGTTGATAGACGACTAATACTAGTGTCAAATAGTGATTTAATGATCTATGTATAATTAAATGACACTTTTGGTGGTTGATGGTCGCGTAGTAGTGAATGAGAGAGTCTAGTTGAGAAGATTAAATACACACTAGCTTATATTTTGGTATTGATCAGTATTTCGGTATATACCGATCCCAATTCCGCAATCCCTAATACCAAATAACAATTGAAATTCAATCTCAATCCCACAAAATAATACGTGTATTCGATAATACCAAATATAGACAAATTCGGTACGGTATTCGGTATATTCCAAATACCGGTACCAAACTTCCAGCCCTAATCCCACACCTGGGCTGGACCCGCGGGTTCGCATGGAGCGTGAGGGCTATGCAACGCGTGGATGCCGATTTCCAACCCATCTTGTCAAATTGGATATCCCAACACGAGGCGGTGCCTGCTGCTACTGTTGATAGTCTGCCATCAGGATGTCATCCATGTTTTGCTATACTCTATCAAACACAATTACTACGATCCAGTGCTTGGCCATATTCCCCGCGAGAAAGCCATCAATGGCACAATTATAGTAAACTATACATACATGCATACATACATATGTTAATGAGTGGTATATGATTCACGATTGAACCTCTCCCAACAACTCGAGTTATTGGGATCAACTGGTCTTTGACATGGTATCAGAGCCTTCTATGATCGAGAGGTGTTGTGTTCGAATCCTGGTAAACCCATTTGTGAAGCCCATTTGTGAAAACCCTTATGAGTTGACTGCCTTTCGTTTGAGGGGGTGTTTTAGTGAATGGTATATAATCCATGATTGAACCTCTCCCAACAACTCGAATTATTAGGATCAACTGGTTCTTGACAACATAAGCACTCTTTTTCCAGTTATCTGAATATTACTCAACCAACCAATATGTATATATTTGTTTGTTTTGCAGAGCCTTATCCTATTATTTCTTAAACCACATAGGGTTTATATAGAGTACAAAGACTGACTTATATAATAATCCTAACACTAATACTGAAATTACCTAACTTCTACGACTCTAATAAGGAATATAACTCTGACCAATTACATAACAATACTCGTAGTATAACATAATACTACGCGTACTACTTCTACTCTAATAATAGTACCTATACTCTATTACAGGGGATGGAAGAGTTGAACCAGGAAGTTGGGCGGGAGAGGTGGGTACGAGAGGGAGACATCCCAAACCTGGTGTACCTTCAAGCTGTGGTGAAGGAAACCCTTCGCATGTATCCACCGGGTCATCTAGGAGTCCCCCGCGAGGCGAATGAGGATTGTTGCATCGCAGGGTATCATGTGCCTAAGGGCACCTGGGTGTTCCTAAACGTGCTAAGGCTACATCGCGATCTTGGGACTTGGAATAGTCCGCTTGAGTTCATGCCAAAAAGGCTTCTTGTCTCCGGAGCTGCACAGGAGGACCAACAACACAAGCTGTTGCAGCACCGCCATCAGCTTAAACCAGAATACCTGATTGGGAACAAAAAATTTGAGTATGCACCTTTTGGGAAAGGGAGAAGGGATTGCCCAGGGGTTCTGATGGCCAACCAAGTGATGCACCTTACTCTTTCCACGCTGCTTCAAGGCTCTCATCTCACTGTGTCAGGCGATAGCCTTGTCGACATGACCAAGCACTATACTGTAACAACCCGAGTGCTGGCGTGATGACGTGTGTAGATAGACAAGTATAAATAGCTATAGCTATTAGGCGAGGGGTCGCTTTTGACCAATTTTAATTCTGTTAGCACTTTCCCCTCTTTTACGCATAGCTTTAGCTCAGTAGAACATCTTGTAGGACAGTTAGTTTTTCCTCCTTCTTCCTCTCTGTATCATCTCCATTCTTCTATTTCTTCGCCAGATTAATCCAATAAAGATACTTACAAGTGGTATTCAGAGCATGTAATCTGGAAATGGCGACGAACACCTCTCGCATCGTTGTTTTGGAAACTCAAATGGCGGCCATTACTCAACAGATGGATTAATGACACCGGGATTTGAAGACCTCCATTGCTGCTCTTGTGGCTTCGACGAAGGCCACTATCGACACTCTTACTAGTTTGTTGGAGCAATGACGGGACGATTCTCCGGTTCGTTCTCCATGGCACTCAACTCCCAATCAATTCGCTGATCAACAACAGTTCCGTCCGCCACCATGTTGGCCATCAATTCTAGATCCTCATGTGTGGGTTCCTTCTTCCACCATCTTCGAGCAATATGACTCGACCGCAGACCCCCAGGTTCCTTCTCCAACCTTCGATTGGGTTTCGCCCTTGTCTACACCAACATCGAAATCCCTAATGCCTTCTACTGCTTATTCTCCGGGAATTCCAGACCCAATTTTTTCTTCCCAAGCACCACCGCCGATGGCCCTGCCTTCTTTCCTGCCATCTTTTGCTTCACTGCCTTCTGATGTGTCCGTTGCCAATTCATCAAATGCGCCTGCAGTTTCATTGACGTCTTCCCCACCAACTTTTGCTTTGTTGCCTTATGCTTCATTAGATGATGTATATCCAATCGATTTTTGTGCTTATTCTATTGTTGGTTCATCGACTTCCGAATCCTCAATTACATTGGATATCTCCCCTTTCCTCGGGTTTCTTTCTCTTGAAGTTCCACCGTATTCTCATGAATTTCGTTCCCAAAGTGTTCTATTAGACTGCTTCCAATCGTTGCCGACCCAGTCTCCTTGCCCATATGAGTGGGACAAGTTTGTTTCCCCTATTGCGCATTACCATCAGCAGTTGCAAACCTTTGACATGATTATTAGTGACTCAGCTGCTACTTACGGCTTCCAAGTTTATGTTGATGGTGGGTTCCCACACCACATGAATACTTAGCAATGGGTCCAAGGCATTTTGGGTTTCAAATTTTCCGAACATTTTATGGGGTTCGCCTGAGTTCTCATCAGGGGTGCACTTGGCCGGATTTTAAAGGCCCTTACAAGAATTGTGTAGAGCATGGTAGTTTGAGTGAGGGAGATAATGGGGTGAATGCACAAAGGTTGAATGCATTAGGGTTGCCTACTTTCGCAGCAACGAAGCTAGCTTTTGAAAGAGTGGATCATACCGAGAAACCATTGGATGCCTTGTGAAATTGTGCTCTAATCTGTGTATGTTACTATTGGGTTGTGCTTATTGAACTTGCAGTTGTGTTCAACCAGTCTTTGTGTTTGCTAGTTGCGGAGTTATTGAGATGTTCTGTCAAACTCTTCCACTACCTGAAGGCTGGAACCCAGCAGAGAGCTGTTGTCCAACTCCCAGAACCAAGGTTGATGTCCAACTTCCAGCTATAGACCAGGCGATTAGTGCACCAACTGAAACTGAAAGAGATGGTAACGTGGCCTACGAGTTAGCCTTGTCCGCTAGTTCCAGAGTGCACCCTCTGTTTCACATTTCCCGGCTGAAATTGTGCCGACCCACTGTGCCTCCTGCTACCCTGCAACTGCCTGCATTAGATGCCAATGGTTCCTTGAAGCTGGCATCATAACAAATTCTGGCTAGGCGATTTTTGAACAAGGAAAACCAGGTTGGGATGCAAGTTTTTGTGTAGTGGACGCTCCAGCTACTAGAGGAAGCTACTTGGGAAGCCTTGCTCTCCTTCAAGGCGCAACATCCTACTTTTCTATCTTGAACACAACTTGAGAACAAGCTGAGGGGGGATTTGTAACAACCCAAACCAGCTGTCAAGTGTATAAATAGCTAAAGTCCACCTGTTAGGACTATCTTTTGGACCAATCATCATTCTGTTAGCAAATTTCCCTTTTAATTGATAGCTATAGCTCTGCAGAACGTCCCTGTATCTCTTTCCGTTCATCTTCTCGACAATTTCCTCAATTCTTTCGCCAGATTCTCATAATAATAGTTCTTACAAGTGGTATCAGAAGCCTGTAATCTGGCTATGACAACGCATACTTCGCGACTCGCCCACTTGGAGACATAAATTGTGTTCATTCAGTTGCAGATGGATTCCCAACATCAAGATCTGAAGGACGTCATTGCTCCTCTCGCGGCTTCAAGAGGGAGCGCTTCGCCGCCCTCACTGCTTCTTTGACGCGAAATCAGGAGACATCTCCGATTAATTCACCACCACATCACAATTACGATCATCGCCCTGATCATCATCACTTCTGGCATCAGTAGTGTCGGCCGTCAATTGTGGATCCCTATCCTCGTCTCGAGTTGCCCTATTTCTCTAGCTCGGATCCTCTGATGTGGGTGAGCAAATGTAACGAACTCTTCCTAGTTTACTCAATTCCGGAATATCATAAGGTCGATTTGGTTTCTCACTATTTGGAAGGGCGAGTTCGCACATGGTTTGCGGGGTGGTCTTTCTGGCGATTTCCGTTGCATTGGGGGCGATTCGTCGACGAGCTGCTTTGTCAATTTGGGAGTCAAGTGCAGATGAATGTCGTCGTGGCGTGCAATCAGCTCCAGCAGATGTCGTCCCTCCCTTTGCTGGGTTTGTGAGAGACGCCCAGGTTCATACTCCAACCACCTCTTCCTTGTGTTCCACTACTTCCGACAGATTCCCTTCCTTTATTGGGGCCAGCTCCATGCTCAAATTTTCTGGATACGCCTGCTACTCAGCTGTCCTTCTTTTCGGCAGTTTCAGGTGGTTTTCAAACTACCAAACCCACAGTCTCTTCTCCTTTAGGGGTTCTCACCCTAGATTTTCCACATAACTCTTCTTTCTTAGGAGTTCTCAATCTCACTAATCTTTGGATTAAGAGTGGTGTGTTTGATTCCTTTGCTGGTAGTCTTATCTAGAAAACGATTTCCTCTGTCACCATTGATAAGACTCTCACTTTTGTAGAGGATTCTTTTATTTTTGGTGATTCTTGTCCTACTGAGTTTATTCTTGGTTCTTTCGTTTCCCTATCGAGTCCAGCAATGGCAGTTGGGGTTCCGAGTTTCGCGTTTTACCAACTTACTATGGCATCTTTAGGAATTTCCATGGAACTAGAAATCGTGATGATTTCAAAGGCCCTTATAAAGATTGTGATTATCGATCAATTGCTTGTATGTCTCGACCTCGGGCTGTCAATGTGAACTCAAGAGCGGCCTCAAATTCTGGTTTTGTAATTTGTCTGTGTTACTCTTGGGTTTGTAAATGGAGAGGCCATGTTCATATCTTGGAAGGACCCTACACAACTTGGCTTCATGAAGCATTGGTGTTCAAGCAGCTTCTGGGTTTGATTAGGAGCCTGACAACATACTCTGGACAGGGTGAGTGTCGTTGTGTCTGGATAATGGAGGGAACTGCAATTTGCCAGACTGAGGATGCCATTCTTGCACTGTTTGAAAATATTGGTTGGCCTCAAGCTGCCAGCAAAATCTGGATCCGGATTCACACCACCTCTAGCTGATGAAGAAATCATAGCCAAACATATTCATGTGGTTGTGTTGCTTTGCTGGTGTGCGTGGTGCTGCAACTACTTGTCCTTGTTAACAATTTGGAGAGACTTCTTGTTTTTCTACATATCCATAATTGGCAAGCAACTGTTTTTGTTGTGGTTCACTACTCAAGGACATCTGCAAATTTGGACTATGTTGTCAATTTTCATTATCTCCTCTTAATGCTACTGCTTTCTGGGTGCTTGATCCAAGGCGCAGTACCCCACTTTTCCATCTTGAACACAACTTGAGGACAAGTTGTCTCTGAAGATGGAGAGTTTGTAACAACCCGAGCTGCTGGCGTGAGGACGTGTGTAGATAACCAAGTATAAATAGTTGTTAGGCGAGTGGTAGCTTTTGACCAATTGTAATTCTGATAGCACTTTCCCCTCTTTTACGCATAGCTTTAGCTCAATAGAACAGCTTGTAGGACAGTTAGCTTTTCCTCAATTCTTCTTCCTCTTTGTATCCTCTCCATTTCTTCCATTTCTTCGCCACATTAATCCAATAAAGATCCTTACATATACTCTTGCTCTGCAAAAGGCTACTCCTTTACAAGTTTGGATTCTGCCCCGCCTGCTCCCTCACCTCTATCCCAGCCCTTAGATCTGGACACATCAATCTGCTGGTTAAAAAGTGGGAAGGGCTATTTAATTAATGACAGGGTAGTTTGGGTATTATGAAAAATTACGAAGTATACAAACCGGACTTACAATCAGTACAAATCATACAAACATACAAACAGTACAAACTAGAGCGACAAAACATACAAACAGATTTACAAACATATGAACTGTACAAAAAATACAAACTAGGCCGACAAACAATACAAACCATACAAAAAGAAAAAACAACCAGGTTGACCTTGAAGGCTCCATCCCTATATAGAGGGGCTCCTTCCCAAAGTCAACTCGGGTGTTTTTTAGACATACAAACATTACAAACATGGTGGACAAAAATGACAAACTAGACCAAAAATTCATACAAACTCGAAAAACACCCGGGTTGACTTTGGAGGCTTCATCCCTATATAGAGGGCTCCGTCTCAAAGTCAACCCGGTTGTTTTTTAGACATACAAACATTACGAACATTGTGGACAAAAATGACAAACTAAACCGACAATCCATACAAACTGGAAAAAACACTCGGGTTGACTTTAGAGGCTCCATCCCTATATAGAGGAGTTCCATCCAAAAGTCAACCATGTTGTTTTTTAGACATTAAAAACATTACAAACATGGTTCACAAAAATGATAAACATGGTGCACAAAAATAACAAAGTTTACAAACATTACAAAACAAAACCGAAACACATTACAAAATAACAAAGCATACAAACATTACAAAATAAACCGACAAACATTACAAAGCATACTAACCATACAAAATGTCACTAAAAATGACAAACAATACAAACCGAATATATACAAACACTACAAAATAGGCCAGCAAACATCACAAATCCAACACTGTCGCCGGAAATCTCTCTCTCTCTCTCTCTCTCTCTCTCTGTCTCTCTCTCTCTGTCTCTCTCTCTCTCTCTCTCTCTCTCTCTCTCTCTCTCTCTCTCTCTCTCTCTCTCTCTCTCTCATGTCTTCCGCCCCAAAATACATGGACAGCACCATTAATATAAATGGACAGCAATCGCAATCGCAAATGTCGCCGCCGGCTAGAGGAGACGCCGGGAAAGAATTTTTTCGACCGGGGAACTGCGAAGGCAGCAGCGGTCAAATTTTAAATTAATAAATTAAATAATTATGCAATTACTATATTGTTCTTTATTAAATTGGATTAATATGAGTCATTGGATTTTAATGAGGTGCAAGGATGGAGATTGACTTAGTCATGTGACTAAGGGAGCCCCCTTAGTCACCTGATCTTAGCCCCCAATATAATATATGTATCTCCTTATACAAACAGAATATATACAAACATTACAAAATAGGCCAGCAAACATCACAAATCCAACACTGTCGCCGGGAAATTTCCTCCGGTCGCCGGAAATCTCTCTCTCACTCTCTCACTCTCTCTCTCTCTCTCTCTCTCTCTCTCTCATGTCTTCCGCCCCAAAATAAATGGACAGCACCATTAATATAAATGGACAGCAATCGCAATCGCAAATGTCGCCGCCGGCTAGAGGAGACGCCGGAAAAGAATTTTTTCGACCGGGGAACTGCGAAGGCAGCAGCGGTCAAATTTTAAATTAATAAATTAAATAATTATGCAATTACTATATTTTTCTTTATTAAATTGGATTAATATGAATCATTGAATTTTAATGAGGTGCAAAGATGGAGATTGACTTAGTCATGTGACTAAGGGAGCCCCCTTAGTCACCTGATCTTAGCCCCCAATATAATATATGTATCTCCTTGTCCCTTGTCTATTTCATGATGTACCCAGTCTACTCAAACTTGTTCAACCAACTCCTTTGAGCGCTAATGGTCTGATCAAAGGTGAATCACTTCATAACGTTTTATACACATTTTATAAAAAAACATATATGTTTAGTCATTTTAATCACTCTACTCATACACTACGGTTTTGAAAATATCAAATCCAAATTTTACGGTTTATCTATAATTGTGTTGAGTTATAATGACATTAATACTTTTAAGTAAAAACCCAACCCAAAACAAAAAATTAAACTATTTTACACAACAAAAAATATAATATAACTAGTTAGAATTTCAAACAAATAAAGCAATGTGAAAAGTATCAAAATGCATGGATGTTATTTGGATTTTAAATCAATGCAATTTGCTTCAATATATGTCTAATTTTTCCACACAGTGTGTTATTCTTCTAAACTTGTAATATCTTAAAACATTTATAGCTCCCACATAAATAAGGAGTTGTGCAGCCGCTACAAAGTGAGAGTTTGATAAAATATAGAATAAGGATATACAAACAAGAACCAATCCCACAGAAAAGGGAGAATAAATTGGGTTGGTAAGTAATACCACTCCTAGACCTCCTAATATAAGAACTAATCCTAGAGAGACTAAAAGAAAATCATGTATTGAGCCCGGCAAATCCATAACAAAGATATTATGTGAAACATTGCCTATATTAATTCATGTCTAAATTTTTAGGTCGATGAATGCATTATGTTGGGAAACCACAAGAAAAATATATGGCAAAATATATTAATTTTCTCACAAACATGCGTATATACGATATAAATATGTTTTAGATATGAACAATTATGACTATAGTTTGGACATAGTTTGTGTCGGGTTCTACCAGTTGAGTAATCCAAAATTCGCATTCAACCCAGAAGTGGATTGTACCAAATAAAATATTCACTCAACGTTAAACCTTAATATTAACGATAAATACGGATGAATTGGGTTAAATTTGACGGGTTCAATTTGCGGGTTTTTGTTCACCCCGGGATGGGTTAGCATGCTAACCCCTTAAGGGGTTGGAAAAATGACACCCCCTAGTGTATTAAATATAATTATAGAATTTAATACACACATTAAATACACATTAGGATTAAATGCACCATATTAATTATTATCTTTTTTTTCAAATTAAAACCTACACTAAATATATTCTCTCTCTTTATATCTGATTTTTCCTTTTTCAACGGCCTCTGACCACCAGACTTCCTCCGACCGCCACACTTCTCCGGTGAAAATCTCATCGGCAGACTCCCTCCGAACACCTGCAAACAATATACCACTGCACTGGTAGCGATATCAGTGCACAGGTACCAATGTCATATATGAGTATCAGTGCAGTGGTACAAATACCAGTACAGTGGTACAACATATCAGTGCAGTAGTATATTTTCGCAGGTGACCGAAGAGAGTCTGTCGGCGGATTTTACCGGCGAAATGTGGTGGTCGGAGGAAACTTGGTGGTCGGAGGCTGCTCGGAAAGGAAGAATAGAGATAGGAGAGAGAAAGATCAAAGATGAGAGAGAGAATTGTATTTTTTTTATATGTTTAGATTTAAAAAAAACGAGTAATTAATGTAGTGTATTTAATGCTTACTTTGTATTTAATAACAGAACATTTATTATGGTTACTTTCATTAATACTAGTCAATAATTAATGAAAAATTGACCAATTAACAAGGGGGTGTCATTTTTCCAACCCTTAAGGGGTTAGCATGCTAACCCATCCCGTTCACCCCCTAATAATGAGTGCGTGGCTATTATTATTAGTGAGTTTAATGATGCTGATATACTAAACTGATTCAGTAATGGGTCTTAACCAAAACCAGAAAGTTGTGCCCAAGTGACCCAGACTCCAGCAACAGAGCAAGTTGCCTTGAAGCTTAGCCGCTCCCTAAGCAGGAATACTAGTTTATTAAGTTATCCTATCTCTACTGCTAATAAACTATAAACATACCAGAATTGCTAGTTGATATTAACATTGACAACATCATTAACCACCTTCATCATCTCTCCAACACCGAGCTTGTCCTGCATCTGGTTATATTATCAGATTAGAATAGTATTAAGGAAGAAGCAATGCCCAAACAATCACATCAATGTTAATCATAAACCCAGTTGCTGATAATCAGTTTATCAACAAAGATAACTACAGAGTTTTGGACCCTTCCTAGCCACATGATGCACCAGAGAACACGCCAAGTCACAGCATTCAGAAGAAAGATGGGAGCATTGCTAGATATGGTGAAATCTGAACCATCTTGCATACAAGAAGCTGCAGAGAAGACCATTCGCAGTGAATAATGTCAAGGATAATGACTCAGGGTTTAAGATAACCACGAACGAGCAAATCCTTGATACGACATGGCAGATGGCTCGCAATGGCCAAGATGGTCGAGTACGTGCCTGACGAGAACCATGCTGGGGGATGTTTCTTGAGGATGGCAGCAACAGTATGCTTTGCAAATGTTGCAACAGGAGTACCTACTGTGCCTTGGGAGGCTAATCGTCTCATTGCTGGGTCAAATGGCTTGTATAGATTCCACCCAGATTTATAGTTACTCTGAGCCGAGTGCAGTATATTCGTCTGAATCGCACCTGGAACTACATTTATCACATCGATCCCCAATGGCTTCACTTCTAACCTGCACCCGGCAACAACAAAAAACCGTAAACTTCTGCAGACATTTACTTCAATCGAAATGTACAACGAGAAGCCTCGGGGAGTAACCATCAGCATTGGCAACTAGAAGTCTTAGGGAAAGGGAATTTAGTTCTGCATATTGGATATATGTACTGACCTCAACGTGTCAGTTAAAGCATGGAGTGCGGCCTTAGATGCACAATATGGCCCGCTCCAAGGAAAAGCCACCAGGACTACTGTACTCCCTACATTTACGATTTTCCCCTTTCTTCGGGATGCCATGTGTGGGACAACAGCTTGAATCATCCGCATCGGGCCTGCAATGCATATAAATCCAGTTGAACTGCAACATTTGGCTAAAAACAGAAAGGGTGATGTCCTGACTTTCCTCAATGACGGTATAGCCTCAGAGGATGGTGCTACTCACTTGTAGAAAATACGAGATTGAAGTTTCGATTTTATAACGAAAAGAGAGGGAAAGCTAGTACCAGTTTGGGATGCTGGTCAAGTAATTACTAATGCCTACTTCTGAAACTTAATTGGCCATAGACTTATGTGAACCAAATCCCAGACTTCGTGCCTGGATCAATGTATCATACTATCATAAACAGTTTTGCACAAGTGCATCAACTAGTAATAGGAAGACATAAAAGGGAAGTTCTAGCCAAAATTGCTAGTGCAGGAAACGGTCATGGGATGGTAGAGTTTCCAGAGAAGGCGTAATGGCCTTCATTTGGGATGAGATACTTAAGCCTTAATCACGCACGAACTTGTAGTTGTATATGCCACTCTGCAGTTGCTACTTTTCTATTCGTAGTCATAATGAAGAACTCCACAATAGAGTCATAGACTACCAGCAATTGGTAACCTTAATTAGTTGTTCTCTCAGGATTCTGCAGAAAGTGGTATATGATAGGAAATGAGCACTTTTCGTTCTTTATGGGTTGAAATCCATCCAATTGATAATCAAAAGGCTATGATTCATGTGGGACACGACACATCACAACCTTCCACAGGTCCAACACACATTACAATCATTCGATTCTCAATCGAACGCATAAAGATGGTTCTTACTCCGTAAACTTGAGCGTTGTAAGAAGGATAGCCGAATTTCCTCCTCGAAGCTTCAAGGAGGACAACATCTAAATATTCCATGTCACCCTTACCAATAAAGAAAGAACACAGGAAACCCAATTTTAAGCTCTGGCCTGGAGCAACAACCTCTCAACCAACCACACTTACCAGGGAAAACATGTCAAATTCTCAATTAGCATGTCTACTATCCAAAAGAGTACTAACTGATTCGATTCACAAGCATTGAAACAAAAAAAAAGGCAGGATCAGCAGAATCCAGGGCGTGTGAAGAATTACCATAAACGTTGGTATCGAAAACCTGCTGCACGGCAGACAGAGGGACCTCAGCAGTTGGGGCGATGCACTGAACGCCGGCGTTATTGACCAGAACATCCACTCTCCCATACTTGTCGATGACGTTTGCCACCGCCCGCTGCACGCTCTCCTCGGAAGTGACATCGAGCTCCAGGAGATATAATCTGTCGTCCTGCTCCAAGTCTCGCATGGAGCTCAAAGACCTGCTGGTGGCGACGACCAGGCAGTTATTAGCAGCGAACTCTTTAGCCAGGGCGTGGCCAATGCCTCCCTGCGAGCAGCCGGTGATCAGAACCACTTCTAGCCCGACAGAGTCCATTTTAGGGTTTCAGAGTGAAGAATCGCTGGAATTTAGGGGAAAGGGTTGAGAAGGGATTTTGTACTGGAAGTGGTGGAGAAATGGAAAGGCGAGAATCCTCGCTGCTGACTAGTATGGTATGGAGCGGACTTTTGACTTCTGTGATTCCGACAGCTGGTTTGGTATCGGCGGCCGGCCGGTGGAGTGAGCGACATTTCTCCTGACAGTTACGGCGGGAGCAGCGGATCAATAAGACTCTAGAAAGTCAATGCATCATTCGAAGGCCAAACTCATGATTAAGATCTGAGAGTAACTACAAATTTTAGGGTTAATTACAAGGTTGGTCACTGGGTTTACTAAAAATGTTCATATTTGGTCACTCCAAATATTTAATTTCATTCATGGTCACTAAGATTAGTTCAATAGTTCAAGTTTGGTCACTCTCCGTTAGTCTCCGTTAGTTTTTGCTGATGTGGCAGTCAACTATTATAGTTGACCGTTAAATAAGTGACGTGGCCATTAAAAAAATATTAAAATATTAAAATTTAAATATTTACAATTTCCATCTCATTTTACAACTACTAAGAAATTAAAATAAAAAATTAAAATAAACCTTAATAAATGGCCTCCGCCATCTACGCCAATAACAAATGATCTTGAGGCGGTTCTCGGGCTTGTTCTTGGCGAGCAGCCTGATCTCCATGGCGGCCTGCTTCTCCTCGTCGATGGCGCAGGAGTCGAGGCTGGAGACGAGGTGGAGCATGAGGTCGTCGGAGTTGTCGGCGACGCAGGAGACGAGGAGGCGGCGGCTCTCGGTGGAGGTGGTGGGGAACTCACCGGATCGGTCGCTGTTGTAGTCGCTGAAGGCGGAGGAGGAGTCGTCGGTATTGATGCAACAGATGTCGCCATATAAAGCTCCTCCCGAGGTAGCTGAAATTGGCCGCCAGATTTTCCGTCCCCATGGGATAAGAATTAAGAGCCCATTTTACTCGGTGCCTTGGCTTCTGATTGAACTGAAATTCGGGAGGCGGAATTCGAATAAAGAATCGGGTGGGTATCGATCGCGGGGCCCCGAAATTGAAGAGAGAGAGCTGTTAATAACGCGATCGTCTCTGCCGCCGCCGCTAAGACTGGTAGTGGTCGCCATTTGTAAGTGAGCGGTGCCGGGGCCGGTCTTGTTCACCTCTTCCTCTGGAATCTTAGGGTTTGTGAGGGAGGGAATAGAAGGAAGAATATCTTAGGCCACATAATCCATGGATTAAGGGCCGACGCTCCCGCTTTGGAGTGGAAAAGCGCGAATTTACGGGAATCCTCTAAAAGTTCGCGAATTATAGTTAGTAGGAGCGCGGATTTTACCGGAAAATTCGTCGAACTTATTTCGACGCAGAGCATACTCCTTCTAAATCTGAAACACGGAACCCTTAACCTGAATAAAAGCATCAACCATCAAAGGTCGTAGCCTTTCCCAGCTCGTATCCTTCGTTTAGGATATTCAAACAATTGCGGCTTGAAGAAGACGACATGCAGTTGGAATTTACAGCGCAAAACCGCAGACATAGAAAGAAGAACAGAAGGTTTTCAGCAAATAAAGACAATCGATCGATTTATTTCTTAGCAAACAAGCATATTGAAGCCTGATGTCTTGAGAATTGAATGATGGCGGAGAACTCTAGGGGAGCTAGAAATTTGAGAAAGAGGATGGCGGAGAACTCTAGGGGAAACATGGGGTAGTTGGGAAGGGAAGAAGAGCAAAGACGTTTATTGCTTCCTTCTATCCATGAAATGAAAATGAAAATAAAATGGTAAGTCAATTATAAAATCATTTTTTATTGGCGCAGATGGCGGAGGCCATTTATTAAGGTTTATTTTAATTTTTTAATAGTTGTAAAATGAGGAGGAAATTGTAAATATTTAAATTTTATTATTTTAATATTTTTTTAATGGCCACGTCACTTATTTAACGGTCAACTATAATAATTGACTGCCACATCAGCAAAAACTAACGGAGAGTGACCAAACTTGAACTATTGAACTAATCTTAGTGACCATGAATGAAATTAAATATTTGGAGTGACCAAACATGAACATTTTTAGTAAACCCAGTGACCAACCTTGCAATTAACCCACAAATTTTATACTATCTACATCTATAATTTAACTTGCACATAAGGACTATGATGTATAATAATGAAAATAATAGATGATTTGAAATGCATAAAATGAGTATTTTGTATTTTAGTTATGCACATAACATTTCAAAAGTGATCCAATTATGCATAAAATGTTTAGACCTCCATGAAAAGAGAAAAGAATATAATATAAACATCATATATAATTATCGAATAAAAAATAAATATAACTAATTGTCATTCATTAATTTATTAAACCATATACTTGAATATTAGAGTTGCTTCTCACAATACATACATAATCAACGTTTAGCATAAAAGAAAATGGGGTAATTTCATGCAACAAATATTATTTTCATGAAATAATTAAATAAATAAAAACCTATGAAATCATATTACATGAAATATATGTTACTCATTAAGATGATGAATGAGTAAAATACATTTATTTTTAAAAGATAGAAGTTGCAAAGTGTCTTTTGGGTTGAATTCTGCATTATCGCTAAGTGACTTATGCTTTTTTTGCAATTGTAGGTGGGCATCGGGCCGTGCCGCCCACGTAGGGATGGCAATTTTGACCTGACTCGTTTTACCCAACCTGTTTGGCCTGTTTTGGGGAGGGTCTGAACCGCCTCATAGGCGGGGCAGGCATGGATACTTTTATTGACCCGACCTGTCCTAACCCGCCCCATTCTCGATCCATTCTTGCCTAAATTACATGTAATCTTAGTCAAATTACTTAGAATTTTTCTTTTATTACATCATAATTTAGCTATAATAAAGTTGTAAATTAGTGAAAACCTCAATTTCTCTAATAATTTAACTACATTTATCATAATATTGTTTGTTTTCTTGGTCTTATAATAAAAATAATGAATATTTCTAATGTTTTCATATAAATTGCATACCCATTGGCTCGACCTCCGACCCGTGATAAATTACCCGACCTGGACCCGACCTGCCACGGGGCGGGTCTGTGTACCAAGAAACCCGCCCCGAACCTACCCCATTGCCATTCCTACGCCCACGGGATAGCACGGGCACGAAATAAATGGGCCAGCCCGGCACTAAGTACAAATAATTTATGGGTCGTACCGGACCTAAACTTCGTGGGCACGGGCACGATACGGTATATAAGTGGGCCGTGTCGGGCCTAATATTTTCGAGAATTTGTTGGGTATAAGAACGGACATGGCACGAAAATAATATTTATTTGATAGGAAATAAATATAAAAAGACATATAGGTTCAAATATTACAAAACACAAGTATAAAAATAATTATTTGCTACTTTTCTCAAACATTATCGGTTATTACTATCTTCCTCCGTCCAATTTTCACCTTTTTCATACTCTCTTTTGTTTTCGTCCTTTTCATTAAACACGAATACTAGCATGGCACGAGCACAAATAGGCACGACACGATTCGAACTGGGCCTAGCAAAGTTAACAAATGAGCTTGCATGGCACGGCCCGGCACGAAAACTAACGGGTCGTGCCAAGCACGACACGAAATAAATGGCCCGAAGCGTGCCCGTGTCGTGCCAGCCCAAGCACGGCCCAGCGCCCATGTACATTTGCAATATATAGTTCAAAATATGACTTGTAACTTTTGTTTCCACCAGTGGTAAAGAATTGTTTGAACCAAGGATTATAAAATCGTATCGAAAAAGTTGGTGGTAGAGTACTTTATACTTACGTCATAATTTAACTGTGATTTCAAGTGGAGGTGTCAATCGGGCGGGTTCAGGCTAGGTTCAATCGGGTTACTGGTTAGTTGGATTGCGGGTCAATCGGGTTACGGGTCAGTCGGGTTGCGGGTCGGGCGGGTTGCGGGCGGTTCGGATTGCAGGTTTTTGGGTCTGTGCATTGAGTTACTTATTTCCTACTCGTAACTGCAATTTGTACATTTTATTAACCTATTTTTTTAAAAAAAAAAATCACCACTTTTAAACAATTTCTTTCCACATCGTATATGTAATATGTTATATGTACTTATTGAAGTTAAAAAAATTTGAATCATGGTGTATGACTTGCAAACTTGTCATGTAATTAATCCTAAGTGGGTAAAGCACACTAGCTAATAGTTATGGTGATATAAACATTTTTATTTTTTCATTCAATAGTCCTACTCCAACCACAAATTATATAGTGTATCATAAAAATATATAAGTAAAATTGTGGGGTGGAGGAAATCTAAATTTGAGGGGAGGAAATGGGAAAATTTTTGGAGGGAAATCTAAACTGGAATGCGGAGGGAATGGAGAAATTCTTGGAAGGAAATGTAAATTGGATGGAGAAGGAAGTGGGGAAATTTTTGGAGAGAAATATAAATTGGTGAGGGGAAGTGGAGAGAAATCTAACTTGTGAGGAAAAGTGGTGTAGTGAACTTTAATTATATAATTGGGGTAATGCGAGGTAAGGATGAGATCGGTTTGAATAGCCTATCGCCCTCCAGGAATGCGCCACTCTCCAGCGCGGCCAACTGCTCCTCCAACTGCGGCTCCTGCGATGCCTACTCACCTAGCAAAATACAACTCTCAAGAGCATCGTCAGTACCCGCACTCGTTATAGCGAGTGCGGTCTCAAAATCGGCAACCACATCACAGTAATCTAAGTCATCATGCAAATGGGAGTGTTTCCCATTCTCAAACACAGAAAAAGTAGCATGTTCATCCCTAGCACGCAAGATCAATTTACCACTATGCACATCAATAAGCGCCTTGGCAGTGGCGAGAAACGGTCTACCCAAAATCAAAGGCGCATCCACATCCTCATTTATATCCAGAATAACAAAATCAACAGGATGTGAATGCACCTACATTAACAAGCAGATCCTCTATGATACCCCTAGGATGCACAATTGAACGGTCAGGTAACTGAATGTTCATCCTAGTAGCTCTAGGTTCACCTAGGTCTAGATTTTTAAACAATTTGTAAGGCATGACGTTAATTCTAGCGCCTAGGTCCGCCAAGGACTTTCCTACATGCATGCTGCCAATAACAAGAGGGATAGTAAAACTCCCTAGGTCTTTGCGCTTCTCGGACAGGTTGTTCTGCAGGATAGCAGAACACTCCTCGCTCAGCATCACTGTCGAAAGATCCCCAAGTTTCTTCTTGTTGGTGAGGAG